GCAGCAGTAGTAGTAGCAGCAGTAGTAGCAGTAGTAGTAGCAGCAGTAGCAGCAGTAGCAGCAGCAGTAGTATTAGTATCAGTAGTAGTAGCAGTAGCAGCAGCAGTAGTAGTAGTAGCAATAGTAGTTGCAGCAGTAGCAGTAGCAGCAGTAGTAGTAGTAGTAGCAGCAGTAGTAGTAGCAGTAGTAGTAGCAGTAGCAGTAGCAGCAGTAGTAGCAGCAGTAGCAGCAGTAATAGTAGCAGTAGTAGTTGTAGTAGCAGCAGTAGCAGTAGTAGTAGTAGCAATAGTAGTTGCAGTAGTAGCAGTAGCAGCAGTAGTAGTAGTAGTAGCAGCAGTAGTAGTAGTAGTAGTAGTAGTAGCAGCAGTAGCAGTAGTAGTAGTAGTAGTAGTAGCAGCAGATGTAGCAATAGTAGTTGCAGCAGTAGCAGTAGCAGCAGTAGTAGTAGTAGTAGTATTAGCAGCAGTAGTAGCAGTAGTAGTAGAAGCAGTAGCAGTAGTAGTGGTAGTAGCAGCAGTAGCAGCAGCAGTAGTATTAGTAGCAGCAGTAACAGCAGCAGTAGTAGTAGCAGCAGTAGTAGTAGTAGCAATAGTAGCAGCAGTAGCAGTAGTAGTAGTAGCAGCAATAGTAGTAGCTGCAGTAGTAGTAGCAGCAGTAGTAGTAGTAGTAGTAGTAGCAGCAGTAGTAGTAGCAATAGTAGTAATAATAGTAGCCGTAGTAGTAGTAGTAGTTGTAGTAGTAGTAGTAGTAGTAGCAGCAGTAGTAGCAATAGTAGTAGTAGTAGTAGCAGTAGTAGTAGTAGTAGTAGTAGTAGTAGTAGTATCAATCAATCAATCTTTATTTATAGGGCGCTTTTCCTGCACAGGGCAACACAAAGCGCCTCACAGTCCACACCACACAATGCACAAATCATCACCATTAAAATACAATTAAAAACACATATGTAATTAAAAAGCATTAAAATCACATAAGTAATTTAAAAACATAAGAATCACACAAGTAATTAAAAACAATAAAATAGTTAAAAACACAAAAAGTTACAACAATAAATAACAAGGTGTGTTAAAACGATAAAATTCTCTAGTTGTATGCACAGGAAAAAAGAAAAGTCTTTAACATGGATTTGAACATTGACAGAGAGGCAGCCAGTCTCACATCCTCAGGAAGACTGTTCCAGACTTTAGCTGCATAAATCTGAAAAGCAGCCTCCCCCTGTCTAGTCCTGACTCTGGGCACTAACAGGAGTCCCGTCCCTGCGCTCCTCAGAGTCCGGGCTGGTTCATATGGGACTAGCATATCATGGATGTACTTTGGTGCAAGGCCATGGAGAGACTTGTACACCAGGAGAGCTGCTTTAAAGTCTATCCTCTGGGCCACGGGAAGCCAGTGCAGAGACCTGAGGACCGGACTAATGTGGTCGTACTTCCTGGTTCTAGTCAGGACTCGGGCTGCAGCATTTTGAATATACTGCAGCTGTTTTACTGCATGTTTGGAGATACCTGTGAGCAGGCCATTGCAGTAATCCAGCCTACTGGAAACAAAAGAATGGATAAGAATCTCCAAGTCTGCCCTGGACACAATATTTTTAATTTTGGCAATATTTTTCAGATGATAAAAAGCTGCTGATGTTACCGATCCAATGTGGCTATTGAAGTTTAAGTCAGAGTCCATTATTACTCCCAGATTTCTGACCTTATTTAAAGGCCTTAGGGAGAGAGACTGAAGGTGACAAATGGCGGTCTCTCTTTGTTTCTCGGGACCAAAGACAATAATTTCGGTTTTGTCCGCATTTAGCTGGAGAAAATTGCATTGCATCCACTCACTGATCCGCTGGATACAGCGAAGGAGTGAGTCCACTGGTCCATGTTCTCCTGCAGTCAGTGAGACATAGATCTGAGTGTCATCAGCGTAATTGTGGTAGGACACTTTCATACTTTGAATTAACTGACCTAATGGCAGCATGTAAATATTGAACAGGAGAGGTCCCAGAATCGACCCCTGTGGCACTCCGCAGGTCAGGGCCATATTATCTGAGACATAGTCTCCAATCTCCACACAATACTTCCTTTCTTCTAGATAGGACCTAAACCAGCTTAGGGCGGTACCAGCAACACCAACCCAGTCCTCCAGTCTCTGCATGAGAATCTCATGGTCAACGGTGTCGAAAGCGGCACTCAGATCTAACATGACTAAAACAGAGACTTTTCCTGCATCAGTGTTAAGCCGAATATCATTTGTTACCTTGACTAGAGCGGTCTCAGTACTGTGGTGTGGTCTAAAGCCAGACTGAAACATGTCAAATGAATCATTAGATATTAAAAATTCAGTAAGTTGTTGGTAGGCAACTTTTTCAAGAATTTTTCCCATGAAAGGCAGATTTGAGATGGGACGGTAATTTTCAAATACCGCAGCATCCAAACTGCTCTTTTTTAGGAGGGGCCTGATGACTGCCTTTTTCAGGGCCATTGGAAATGTTCCAGATAAAAAAGACATGTTTACT